CTATATCAATTAACAGTATCCTCCATAAATGATGGAGAAATGAAGACTTTCCCAGATGAACAAAAGCTGATGGAGTTTGTTGCTAGTAGAGCTGCCCTACAGGAAATGCTAAAGTGATTCCTTTTCCCTGAAATGAAAGGACATCAGGTAGTAACGTGAAGCCAAGTTAAGAAATAAAGAACACTTGGAAAGTTAAGTATGCAGGTAAATATAAAAGCCAATAGCATATTTTTGGTTTGTAACTCCTCTTTTTTCCTATATGATTTAACAGACAAATGCATAACACAATAATTATAAAGCTGTGTTAATGGGCACACAATGTAATGGGTGTAATTGATGTAATTGGTGACAACACCACCTAAAAGGGGAGATACAGAGATGTGTTGGAACATAGTTTTTGTATACTATTTTAGCTAAGTTGGTATTAATTCAAACTAGATTACTATAAGTTTAAAATGCTAATTGTAATTCCAAAGATAACCACAAAGAAAGTAAATAAACAGTATATAGAAAAGGAAATGGGAAGGGAATCAGAATGGTACACTACAACAAACACAGAAGAAGGTAATAATGGAGGAACTGAGGAATAAAAAAGATATAAAACATATAGGAAAATATAGCAAAATGGCAGAACTAAGTCTGTCCTTTGGCATAATTACTTTAAATGTGAACGTTAGGTTAAACTCTCCAAATAAAAGGCAGAGTTGGCAGAATGGATTAAAAAAAAAAACCCATGATCCATCTATATGTTGTCTACAGGAAACTCACTTTGAATCCAAAGATACAAATAGATTAAAAATGAAAAGATGGAAAAAGAAATTCTATGGAAATAGTAAAAGACAGTTGGGGAGGCTATATTAGTGTCAGACACAATAGACTTTGTCAAAAATTGTCATAAGAGACAAAGAAGGTCATTATATGTATAACAATAGGTCAATACATCAAGAAGATAGAATAAGCTTATACACACCTAACAACAGAGCCCCAAAATATATGAAGCAAAAAATGACAGCACTGACAGGAGAAATAGATAGTTGTACAGTAAGAGTTGGAGACTTAAATACCCAACTTCTAATAATTGATAGCACAACTAGAAAGATTAATAAGAAAATTTACACTATAAAGCTGGTTCAAAGACAGACAAGTTACTGATTGATATGTAAAGTTACTGGGAAGCTGTGTAGGGAGAAGGAATATTTGCTAAGATCAAGCTTTTGTTGGTGGATCAATTAATTGCCTTATGTAATGTCATCTGGCTTGTTTCACTGAAAGTTACCAACCTATACTGTTAAAACTATAACCCCACCTATGTCTCTTCCTGTAACTTCCTGAGCTGGAGAATAAATGCAGGAAGAGAACCCAATTCGTGGTTAATTTCCCAAATGGAAGGAATGCCTCTCTCTTGAGGGTTCTGGGAGATTAACTCCTTTCTGGGGCATCTCACTGCTCAGAAGAGATGGGCTTTGAGTAATCTTTGGTGGCTCTGTCAGCCAGGGGAAAAGGGGTGACAAATCCATGGGAGGCAAAGCAACGTTTATCTATGTGGAAAGTAACTGAGCTACTTTAAAAATGTGTAATAAAAACCTATAGAATGAGGCCGGCCCGTGGCTCACTCGGTAGAGTGCAATGCTGATAACACCAAGGCCACGGGTTCAGATCCTATATAGGGATGGCCGGTTTGCTCACTGGCTGAGCGTGGTGCTGACAACACCAAGCCAAGGGTTGAGATCCCCTTACCGGTCATCTTTTAAAAAAAAAAACCTATAGAGTGCCTGAAGAACCATCAAACCATTACATAAATATCTCATTTATTTTTATTCTTAAGAAGCAAGTAAAATTAGAGGTGTGACAACTATCATGGTATCGCTCTGCTGGTATCACTGCAAAGATTCAGGCTGGAATTCTCCTTTATTTAGCATCATCAATCAGGCATTCTAGAATTTAGTTGATGTGATAATCCCTTTGTTGTGTAGACTCATAGGTTTCCATCATTTTTGCTGCAAATCCAATGCACCAGTGATAGTTTTATCTATATTAAAATGCCTAGTGTGGAGCTAAGGCTAGGGTCGGGAGCTCACAGACCCCTCGAGCACATTCACAAACCCTTCACACACAGGTCTATGAGCTAGGTAAGTGGCAAAAAGGTCCTTGAAGCCTTGGTTGAAGAAGGAATAGTCTTTATTCAGCACACACACATCTAAGAGCTAAGCAGTCCACAAAGAAACTCAGAAACTCAACTGCTACTGGCAAAGTCCAAAGAAAAACTGAAACTGAGCAGCTGCCAGCAGAGTAAACATGCTCTATTTTTTGACAGAGCTCTCTGCTGCCAGCCTGCTTCAGGAACTGAAGAACACAGGATAGCTACAAAACTAAAAAGATACATTGGCGCACATGCGCACTAACTCCACCCACACACAACTTGTTGACAAGAAATGTGCTGCTAGACTCCCCAGCCAGACCTGAGCCGAGGGAGCCTGGCTAAATTATTCTATTTTTCCCACACGAAGATTTTTAAAAAGATGACTTTCAGCATCCAACGTTGTTAGAACTTCTTTACTTAAGTAAAATTCTAGAAATCTAAGATTCAAGGCCTTTGTGAGAAACTCCCTCTGTCCCCTCAGGTGAAGTAGGCTGCGAGTTTTCCTGACTCTGCCTAGGGGCTGGGTACTTGTATCTCTCAGTGCATCTCCCCAACCTGGGGGAGTTACCCTTTCTAGCCTGGATGGCCCAGTCCTGGGGATAGTCCCTTAGCCAGTCCTGTACTTATGTCCTCTCCTGAAAGAGCAGTCACTGCTTTCACTAGTGCAGCAATAAAATGTTCTCAATTCTCCAAACATCTCATACCCAGGTCAACTAGGTTAAAAGAACAGCTATTACCAAATAATTTGGGAATGACGTAGAATGTTTCTGTATCTTGCACACCATTTGATATGACCTATAGAGCTAGACTTTGGTGGACAAATTGAATTCACCAAAAGCTGAAGCTGTGATAAAGATAAAACACTTCTTGTTCATTGACTTTTTACTACATGGTAAGTGTTGTCCTAAGTTTTTATTATATATCCTTTTAATGTAATCTTCTTGACAATCTATGAAGTAAGTATCATTATGATTGTCTCGGTTCTGCAGATGAGATGCCTGGTTTCAGGAAGGGTGAGTGCTGGACTACAAAGCTCTTTGTCAGTTGTCAAGCTAGGATTTGATCCCAGGCCTGCCTGACTCCAAAACCTAGGCTTTTAACCATTACATGATAGTGCCTGCTTGCCTTCTATGAAGGCATAAAGGACTGTATCAGAATGGATAATTTGGGGCTAAAACCCTGGTGTGGGAGATGTTAGTCTAATTTTTCTTTACAGCAATACCCGAAGATGCAACAAGGGTAAGAGCAGCAGCAGAGTTAGAACCTTTCATTGTCTGGCAGAGCAGAGGCTGAAAGTTCCTCCCCTCCGCCTCTTCTGCCTTGTAAAGGATTTGGAGGATCCTTCAAGCTTAGTGGGCAGTTTTGAGAATTACCTGGGCTACAGATGAAATTTATATATCAGAACCTTAATTTAACAGCCAGTTAAGACCTAAGTGTGGTAAAAGATCCTGTCATTTTTTAAATTAGCAAGCAATGTGGTGCTACAGACTATATTAGAATAAAAACATAGGAATAAAATATAGTCACAAAAAGTAGAGGATATTGTGACTATCCTCAAAGATATACAACATTTTGAGGAACATGATGAGAGTTTAGGGCATGCTTTCAAGCCAAAGGACTATCATAAATGAATATGAAGATCGTTTGGGTCCTCGTCCAGCATCTTAAATAGCTGTGTGGTCTTGGAAGTCTTGGGCTTTGCTTTCCTCATCCATAATGAAAATTTTAAAAAATTGAAAAGGAAAAAGAAGCAAAATCAAAATCAGAATCTTGATTTAGGGAAGAAAAACTATTTTTGACGTAGAAAGCAAAACAAATTTTGGGGGGCCAAATTTCTGTGAAATGTTTTAAATCATCTTTAGCCCGTGGTAGTTTGTTTCAAATATTATACCGGTTGTTATAAATGCACTTCATTTGATTTCTTTAAAAATTTTACTTGGCCTACTGTCGTTTAAACAGAGACGAGGCCAGGTGCGTACGCTGTGGTAACTTGGAGCGCTGTGACTTCCTAGATTAAAGGGCCATGTCTGTATCCATGGCATTGTGGCAATTAAAAGCATTCCTTGAATCCTGCATTTTCAGTACTCAAAATAAATAGTTTTTAATATCTAATGGACTATCTAATTGCCAAACCACCGATTAGCTGTTTGAAGAGAGGTGAGCGACAACTATTTTGGAGTTAATTCTCACAGTGATGTTCGCCCTTTTCTTTCCCCCTTCACTAAGTCGCACCCGCCCAGCCAAAGTGGAAAACAAAGACCGGGGGGGGGGGGGGGGAAAAAAAAAAACCCAAATTTTTTTTTTTTTTTTTTTTTTT